CCCAAATGGGACGAAATGCGCATCTTTTGATTCTATTTCTGGTTACCATGAAACAGGCAAATTTCGGAATTTGGAAAATTGGTGTGGCAATCAAAGGGGGAGAAAAAAGTAATTCGTTAGGCAATGCGTAATTTTGAAAAATAAAAAGGATAAATCAGCAGTAAGGATAATAAAATCGATTACTTAGGAACTAATAAATGGTGAAGTGGACATGGTAATAAGGTTCAGTTCCCACAGGTGGATTTCGATGCCTTTTGCTGTATATAGAAGACAAGTTCGTAAAGCAAATTAAAATAAGTGGAAACACAACAGATAACTCTAAATACTCTGTTGACATCAGCTCTAGAATCAGCATCTACAGGGTATGCTAAACTTGAGCTATGTAAAGACTTTATTTGTCCCTTGCTCAACTATGCAGGATGATGTACGGAAATCTAAATATGAATACGCTTAAATATTCGCAAAATGTACCCAGCTCCATAAGAGCAGTCAAACTGGTAAACGCATATGAAGGAGACGCACTTAGGTAGTTTATCCTCATTTCTCGATCGTCATTTTTTCTTAATGTAAAGAGACAACTTAACTATCCGGCAATGAATACTCTTTTTACGGTATTCTGAAAGCTTTGTGTCACTATTTTACCAATGATATCAACACGAAACTGCAGTTTTATATTAGTTAGCGTGAATACTCTTACTCATTTGTCTATTTAAGTAGTTATTACACGATGATTACCTTTTTTGCCTGAACCATTCCGTTTCTAAGAAATACCTTCATAAAAGACGATAAATTATGTCTTTAAATGAGAAAAAATGGTTGGAAGGGGACTAAAATGTACATAACGTGGAAAGTATTTATTAAGATCTTCATTGGCTAGAAGACCAACTGACTGTATTAACTTTCTTTGGTTGAATATTCCAGGATTATAGGCTTTATCATATATAGTTTCATCTCTGTGCAATAGATACATGAGTGGTTTATGATAAAGATTTGGTGGGACGGGATAAACTCCCCAAATCTCGTGAGACATTGAACTGGATTTATTTTGTACTGAATAACATACAGAATAAGGATACACTTTTGCTAACATCGAGAAAGTGCAGTGTTTTTTTTTCGTACACTTCCTCACAAATTATTATAAGAGAATTGCGGTAGTGATCAAATTTTCATAAGGCATAACTCAGCAAAGAGGAGTCCTTTTGTAACTTCTCGCTAAAGATGCACAATTTTAAATAGTGTTTCTGAGAAATTTTAGGAAATGACATCAAAAATTAAAGTTAATGTTAGTCAGTGACAGATATATTGAGCGATAAATGAGGATAGAAAAGTTGTAAATTGTAAAGCATAATTCAATAATCTATTACAGTTGAACAGTAGCGTTCAGAAATAATTACTGAAAAGTCGAAGTATGGAAACTCTGAAAGCTGTTCACATTCTATGTGGAAGAAACAGTTTCTTTGTTTTTGAAGTTTCAGTAACAATGGTGTTGTTTTTACTGTTTCATGGCCAACACTCTTTCCCTGGCTTACTATCGGTTACTAAACTAGGCGAAGTTTACTAGTGAGTTGGTCAGGAATCGAACTTGAATCTCCCTTATGATTGACGAGTATTCAACCATTGCATAATGAAGCACCTTCTATTTCATGGCCGTTGTTAAGGAAACCTAGCAAAATAAATTCATTAGTGAATATATACATTTGATCATAGGGAATAAGAAGACAGTTGCAGCATGCATATACCAGTTTACTTGCTCTTGTAGAGCTAAGTACATCGGCCGTACCATGTGCCAACTGGAAAAACGCGCTTGTGCACACTATCCAGCCTGGCTAGTAAAAGGAGAACGAAAACGGGTATATAGTTAAGTGACAGAACATTTGATCAATTCAGAACTTTCAGCGCCATTCGAAAAATCCTTCAAAATAATATACAAGATTCCATCAAACCTATCAAAGGGAGTAAAATTAAGACATCTGGGCATAGCCAAGGCACTAGCCATCCAAAAGCTCAAACCCACGCTATGTATCCAAAAGAAATACGTTCAACCCTTGTCCCTGCCGTGGCCATCATAAACAGGTAATTCTTCGAATAGTGACTATCCCATTGACTTTCTTATCCAAACTTCCTGTTTATTCATGTTATTTTAAGTTTTCCTTAATCCCTATTTACACTACCATATTTTCATATCCGAACTTCCTGTCTATTTTGTTATTTTATTATTTCTACATATTTAATCCCTGATTGCATAAACAATTATTCGTCACATTAGTTATGATCTCACTAGATTTTTTATCCAAACATCCTGTCTGTTGTTGTTATTTCTACATTTCTAACCCCTAATTGCACAATATGTCAATCTTCTCAGTAATTATGATGCTACTCTCTGTCTGAGCTTTATCAGTCCCCCTGTTTATTATGGCATTTTAATTCCTAATTGTAATTCTATTAATCTGACCCTTGACCAGAAATTATTCTGGAACTTTCCTACCCATTTATCATAAATACACGAATGTACAGCCTAGTTGATGATTTCGTCGAAAAGAAAATTTTCTTCGCTGCAACTGTCTTTTTATTCCCAAAAAATTCATTAGTTATAGGTATTCACTGGTCTTGAATGATATATGTTTACTAAAAGCCTGTATATTTGAATCCTCGGAAACTTATTTTATTATATTACTATACCCTCCCAGTGGAATATAGGGCTTTAGGCTTTGAGCATTGAAATTTCAGGAGCAATGGTGTTGTTTCTAAAGCAGTGGGGTTGCTAGCCTCACTCTCAACCTTCCCTCTTCACCAGTTTCCGGGAATTGAACCCCTAACCATATGCACGATTGGTGAGTGTTACATCATTGAAACAATGACCGAATTGAATTTCTTTTAAAGTTAACTTGTTCTACGTGAAGGCTATATGACGCGTTATATGGTTTAGTGAATAGCTTTCATTAATTATATTGAATACAATAAAAGTACAATTTATAGAAGCAAAAAACTTTATTCAAAGTAACAATAAGTACTGTAAAATTTTTGAAAGAATTAAGCAATAAACGGTGTCATCTGTTGCTATTAGCCTATAATTAGTTTGTTAGTTACACGTACATAAATAGTAGGTGTACTACTATTATTGTATTCACTCTAATATTCAGTATTTCATAATTTCATTAAGCAAAGACCTTGCAAAAGACAAAGACTAATAATAGTAATAATGATAATAATGCTATTTCACTAATATTGAGCCTGTAAACAGAAGATAAACCTCATATACTTTTTATACAGACAGAGAGACAAACAGATCATTAATTGTATTGTTTCTTTTCATTGCTAAGCTCTATTGCCCCATATTTCTTTCTCATAATCATATAATTTACTATTAAACTAAATACTGGAAGGTGGAAATCGTTCAAAAAGTTAATTTTAGCTTTTTTGAATACCTTCTCTCTGTTTTTTATACAATTAAAAGTCATAGTTTATATGCTTAAAAGTGTCATAAATCATTTATAATATTTATATTTGTGATTTCCTCACAACACACATATATGTGGACAAAATTAATCGGCCTCATTCTAACATACAAACTTCTTCAACGGATATATCTCGATGTTACCATGACTACTGACTCCAAGTTAATTACTTAGAGGTGGCTAAGAAGAGCACCTCGTCCTATTTGGGACTTATCAGCTGAGTAAACCTATGGGAACACTTATTAGCCAATAAATATGCCAAAGGAAATGGAGATGGATTGAACACATACTCAGGAGATCATTAAGTGAAATCAAACGCTTCAGATGAGAAACGGCAAGTTGATTAGGGGTCTGAGATTGACATCAAATGAGGTTGTGTGAGGAAGAGACTCGGAATCCATGGGAATAATAACAATAATTATTTATTTCATGAGAATTGTTACTGAACAAAGAATATACTTTTCGATAACCTGCTCTTCATCAGGTTCTACAGCTGTATATACATAATAGTGAATGAATTAGTATTAATAACAACATTAATGTTGTTTAAATAACATCGAATTAATAATAATTATTATATCAACGGATTGCAGTTCGATAGCATTAACATAACAATAAACTGAATGTCAGAAAAATTAGAAAGATAATAATACAAATTTATGAATTTATAGTCTCTACTGAAGGCTGACGAGGGCAGTCGTAGGGGCTGAACTTACTTCTTTTACACACAAACAACTGGTTGTTTCACGAGAATCGCCATAGCCCCTGCTGTTTGGAATATGCAGCACCCGGATGTTTTTGGCAATTTATTTGGTATCCGGTAGATGATAAAGAAGGGTTGGTCAATGTGGCCGGTTTGAACCAGGTGGTCTATTATCGAACTGTTGGTAGTTCTTACTACACCTTTACTTAGCCATACTGGTAGGTGTTCCCGGGTGAGCACGGAAAATCAAGTTCCTAGAGCAACGGCCAATATAACTCGCCTCACCAAAAGCATCGTTGAATTAGTAGATACAAGTAGAAGTGGTTAGTCTAGGTACTTTATCTTTCAATCGAGGAATCACAATCGGTCGTGTAGAAAATAAGACTTGTGGTTTGTCAGCATTAAAAGTTCTTTGAACTGATTTTCTTAATTTCTTTGTAATTATTTCGCTTAGTATATCACCCTTGAATTGCAGTCGTATGTATTAAGGCTTGTTGTTCACGGATAGTAAGTAGTCCTTTTCCACTTTTTTTTGTCATATATATACAAATGCAGAGCCTCATAATGAAGTTATCGAAAAGAATATTCTTTGCCCAGTAACCATTCTTTCGACAAATGTTAACTGGCATTTTGAATCAGTTATGGAAAATTATAATAGCTGACAAAGTAGAGTAATAGTTAGCTTCGAATATTCATAAACATTATATAAACAACTCAAAATAGAATTTTTTAGTTTTTCTAAATGCAGATATGGTTATCTTAATGTATGAAATTTTTACTGATAGTAACAGTTTACGGATAAATTATTTTACTTACTATTTGTTTTTTGTACCATTTTAAAGGATTTAGGCTGCTTAATAATATCTGAAGCATTGGCTACACCATGTTATTCATCTGAAAATTGTAATCTTAACAGGAAATTTGGCTTAATTCGACTATTTTTATCAGAGAATAGGATAACATCTTCAAGTATGAGTACATTGGCCAGAGGATTAACACGTTGTACACGTTTAACTACCTTACAATTATGCGGCAATACAAATATTGGATCTATTGGTTTACGTGCATTAAAATCAGGTCTTATTAACTCGCCACGTTTAAAACGTCTAGGTATTGCTTTCTGTGGAATTGATAATCAAGGCGCTTTACACATATCAGAAATACTGACAAAAACAAAATCACGTTTTACACTAATCGATTTAACTGGTAATTTAATCGATTCAGAAGGAAGTCTCACTATAGCTAAGTGTTCAACTTATTTAAATGAAGAAGTTAAAATAAAAGGCTTAGGTAAGTTTATGCATAGAATGATATGCGTTATATAATGTGTTATTTAATAATAATAATCAACTTTATTCCAAAAACAGTACTTATGTAACAACAGAAGACAAGGACCAGGCAACAGATCGTTTATTAAGGAAAATCAACACATATTTATAGATTTTAATGTACATTATTGTTGATTATTGTTAGTAGAAAATGCAGTCTTTTGATTGGTTGTTTCTCACACAAAGTTAGCCTTGCATCTCTTTGTGGCTGTGTCAGATCATCCATATGCTAACTGTATCTGCCTACGCAAAGCCTTTGTTCCCATTTTCTCACTACCAATATTGGGGACATAAACATTGATGTCAATTACTGTCTACCAACTTTGGCTAGCAGCCAGCTCTCACCACACTTATAATACAGAATGGAATTCTTAGCATTTGTCATAATATTGCATCTGATTTACTCAAAATATAAATAAAATTAAAACGAAATTAACCAGAGGAATTTGTCCACATTTACGAAACAAAGTCAAAAAATACTCGACGTGCGAGTCGAGAATATTAAATATAATAATTATTATAATAATAACAGTGAGTTTGTTTCAAACAGTATTGTCAATTCAGTTTGGAAATTTTAGCATGTTATAGATTATTGAATCTAATGTTCTGTTGATATAGTATGGTGAGGGGAAAGACAAAAATTAACAGTTATAACACAGCTTAAATGATGTTCACACTTGTGAAAAAATAAACAAATAAAAACAAAAAATCGAGAGGATTATAAATATAAGAAGTACAGTAACAATAAAGGTTGATGTTGTAAGGATGGAGGAAAATGGTTTATTTAGTAGTGCAAAGAAGGTTTGTTGGTTCATTCCTAACACTATTTTCATCACATAAAGTACGTGCCAAATATGGTATAGTGTAATTTCTGTACTTAGACATACGTGCATAAAGTCTTCAGATAAGACTTCTTGTTTTACCTGAGGAGACACAAGGTTGGAGCTTTGGGTAAAGTGGATGCTCACAGTCTGACAAAATTCCTTTAGTAAATTTGTTGCATGACATCAGGTGCCTATCAATGACAATGTCAACGATGTGGCCTAATGGGATACCACTCGCCCTACTGACAGTCTTCAGAGTTTTACGAAGTATGACATAGTCATTTTTAAGCAATCCAGGAAAGAATCAGGGTGAACAGTAAAGAAGAATAGGTAAGATGCACGAGTTGACAAACTGTAAGAGGAGTGGTTGGGTTATTCCTGAGTGCCTCAACTTCTTAATGTAAAATGTCAGACGAAATATTCTTTTAGAAATCGCTAAGACATGGGAAGACCAGGAGAGGTCAGAAGAATGAATTAATCCAAGATACTTAATTTCGGACTTGATTTCTATATTAATATCATCAATTTTGCAACGGTCATAGGAACCAACAGGTTCATTTAATTTTCTTTCTATTTTAGAAGAGCTACAGATATCATCTTTAATGCAGTGTGCATTAGAAGCTTCCAAAAAGGAGAATGGAGGTGATAATGTTGATTCACAGACTGTAAGTTTATTCTATTTTCCTTATTTTTTTGCTTGCTGGTTTGTTTATTCCAAGTTCGTATTTATTTTGTCTAATCTCTTTGCATTCCCAGTGGAACACGGTGGGGCTTCAAGCTTTGACCCTTGAAGTTTCAGTAGCAGTGGCATTGTTCTTTGTTTATCCGGAGAGGGTTGCTAGCCTGTCACCCAACCCTTTCCTCTTCATCGCGTTTACTACCGATTAATCGAGGTACTGGCCATAGATGGAACTCCCCTAACCACATGAGTGGTTGACCAGCCTTCTACCGCCGAACCATTAACGCAAACGATTAGTCTGTAGGATCTAATTATTAAAGAAGGTTATATTACAAATGATAAGCGATGGGCTGGTTTTTTGAGTCTTGTCTGAATAGCAGAAATGGCCTTGATGTTCGATACTCGTTTGCATCCATCCATTGCCTCAACTTTCGAATTCTATTTAGTGACAAACAAATATGTGAATAATATTTTTAGGCAGTTTGTATAAAAACTTATTGAATCGCTTTTATAACTGCATTTGTTATTACAGTTGGCTTATGTATCTTTGGTACAATAGCTTAGTAAGCAATTGTACAAAGCGCACGCTTACATTATTATTGACTATTACTCCCTTTACGTTTCACGTGGAACATAGGGCTTCATTAGTACATCCCTGTTTCACTATGTTCTCTGTAGTCTTCTTTAGCTGGTTCCATAATTGAACATAATCTTTCATCACCTCTCCACATGATCCCTTCCATGCCACCCTCGGGTCTATGCTCAGTTCACTGTCTTCCATTGAGGTTCCACTAGAAAGTCTGTATAGCGTGTGACGTTAATTAATGATCTTCTTGTAGAATGTCCGATTCATCTCCATTTTCTTCCCCATATTTATTAGGCAACAGGTTCTTGGTCAGTTCATTTTCAAAATTCCTTGTTGTTAATCCTTTGTGACGGTACATAGCCAGTAAAGGCAGTTGGTGATGAAAGTCTGAAGCAAGCTGTTTGAAATGCCACATAGAAGAACTGGCTTACTTCACACCAGTGTTAAAAATCCGAATTTTCTTCCTAATACTGAGTGCCGCAGATTCCCACTATCTTGTTTTTCTGATCTTCGCTGCCTTTGATATCCTCAAACGTACTGCTTGTGATATTTTTTACAAAGATTTGATTTGACCAGGCATTAAATTCTATCCCATTGGTTTACCTCGTCACTTGAAGGTCCTGAGTTCAATCCTCGGCTAGGTTATGGATACCTACTGCCAAATAGTCCTAAACAAGGGTGAAATAGCTGCCCAATGCTTCCTGTTAACTTTTCATTCAATGGTTCTCTAAATGATTTGAATCCTGGATCAAACTAGAATTTCTTTTATTACCTGAAATGTATGTCTAGTTTCTTAGTGTTTAACGTAGAAATCAGTTAACACTTACGCCCATTTGTTTTTTTGTTTTACTGAAATACTATTTACCCCGATATTTTCTTTCTTGTTATTACCATTATTATAGAATAATTCACAAGTTCAAGATGCTGTTACAAATCTACTTCAATCTACTGAGCGATTTCTTCCTGCCAATAATAATAATAATAATAATACTAATAACAAGCATAAGAATTCACTCATTTCTTCAATCAAATTGGGCAGTTATAGAAAGACGAAATTTCATTCAGCGCCGGGATTTCAATATACCAATAAATCTTTTCTAGACTGTGATCCACGTTATTTATGGGGGGATAGTTCAGACAATGATACTGATGATGATAATAGTAATAATAATAATAATAATGATAATAATAACAATAATGCAGATAATGACGCTAATGACAACAGTGATGATGATGACACTGTGAACACTAACCCGAATACACTTTACAGGCGAAGAAAGAAAATTAACGCTTCAGGAACAAATAAGTGTATAAGAAAACATTCAGTCATTTGAGTATCAGTAGAATAAATTTTTATCCACCCCAGTGTGAATTTCTATTGTTATTAGGCAGCTTTGTAAATGTAGCACACACACACACACGCACGCGCACACTCACAGACCCAGAATATTCCCCGTCTTAGTGCAAGGCTTCCTTCCTTGCATAGTGTGATCAAAATATTTTTCCATTATCTATCTGATCTGATCTGATTGTTTGATTGATCGGAATACCTCCCCTCTTCTTCTTCTTTTGTTGTTGTTGTTGTTGTTCTTGTTGTTGTTGAGTGTATTATAGATGTTTGTATTGTACAAAAAAGAGAGAAGAGATGTAATTCAACCATTATTGTGATTTTGTCTTCATTCCATATTTTCCCACATATATTTTTTCACAAAGAGATCATTTTCATTATTTAGTTAGAAGAAATTCAATTGATGTTTCTTTTCTATTCTTATTTGTCGCCTGTATAAGCCAAGATATTTTTATGAATTAAAATTGTTTTTAAAAAAAAACTTCTCTTATTTCCAACCTCTGGAAGAATGCATACATTCGCATGGATTGTCTTACTTACTGTCTCCATTCGGGATCGATACACCCATATAGGCGAAACAGAAATAACCACAATGTATAATAGAATGCCTGAAATCTTGGTACATATAAATTTGAATTTTGATCACGGATTGATTTACTTTGGAGAACTGTTGAAAACCAAATGCCTTGCCTTAGTTTGGGACTCATTGTCAGTATGCATTCACCGGGATTCAAGCCCACGACCTTCCGGTAACAAGTCAAGTGAGCTCGTAGACTATTCAGCCACTAGCACCCGATCCAACGGCCCATGTATTCTAACTTTTGATGCTTGTTAATGACTGGCTACATGACGAAGTTAACTGGAGGTCTTTCTTGTGAGAAGTTGTGACCACTAGGGTTTACCTGGTCGGGAGTGAAGACAGACATTCGCCAATGACACTGACTGGTGGTCACGAAATGGCCATTGAAAGGGGTCCCAGTGGCTGGTCTATGAGATCGCCTTGTAACCGGAAGGCCGTTGGGTTCAAACTCCAATGGGTGTGTACTGATGAATAGTCCCAAACTAAGACGAGACAGCTGTCCAGTACTCCCACCTGGTTTTCAACACTTTCCTAACTGATATGAACTTGTGATGAAACTTGAAACTACTCAAATCCCTGCAAACATGCTCTTGAACATAAATATTTCATAGTAACAAAAAACAACTTTTTCTATTCATTTCACTTTTACCTGTCATTGTATAATTAAACTGGCCACCTGATTAACTCGATGGGATACACTTATTTTTTCATAGAGCATAATGCGTGAAATTCACTCGATTTCATTATGTTTTAACCACCCAATTATGTTTTTGAGGAAAAATCTTTGTTCGTGTACTTTTGTGAATAGCCATGAATATACCGCTTAGCATGTTTCCAGGGAATGAAGCTTTTGGGGCTTGCAATATGTTTCAAATTGAACAATTTTCTGTCGAATGATTTACTTTAGATGATAACTTTACCTGAAGATTTGGTTTAAGGAAAGGATTAGAAGAGACTCAGTTTTCTGTACTCTATGTAAAAGTGTTTTTCAGAACAAATCTTTCATCACCACCACTACTTTTCTTATTATATCAACATTACCAACGACATAATTAATTATCTGAACTAAGATGCTCGCCCTCTGTCAGCATGTTGCTTTCTCGTATGGCTTCTTCGACCGTGCCTGAGGATTAAATTAAAGCACTTTAGTGGATAGTGACTAGCAGTGGAACCGAGGCTGAACATTTGGTCCTATTTGAGACTCACTATTCCCCAGTGAGTGGAATTGTTCCTCCTGAGATTCGGACCCAGCACCCAGTGTTCCAAACGCCAAGGCGTTATCCAACAGACTACTTGGGTCTTGAGAGCCTCAGTGGGCAAACATTTGTCGTCTACCTGAAAAAGTCGTTATCTTCTTGAGTCTCAGCAAACGTCTTATTCAGTCATTGTCATAATATAAACGAAATAACAGTTAGTCATATTCACAATCTACTAAAATAGTCACTTGAACTTCTGACTAAATCAAGGTAAAACGACAATTAAACTCCGTATTAGAAGGCAAGTGAATTTATTGTCTCTGCATTGAAAAGCTTGCATAATAACCCACTTGTTGTTTTTGTAGAATTCGCTATTTAGCCAGGTCCCAGACACAACGTACTACCCACTATTGGCTATTCATGAGATGGATCCCAAATCAAACCGTCCGTGTTTTTCGATTTATTTCACTTATGGATAGTGTTAATCAACAATTTAAAAAGATTCTTAAGTTTATTATGATTACTGCTTGTTAACACTTCATTTTTAAAATTTAGCTCAGTAAAATCCATCTTTATATATATATATATATATATATATATATATATATAAGATGAACTAAGCCGCATCATCCTGGAGAGAATCAAACAAGCCCTGGATGAATAACTTCGACCGGAACAGGCTGGATTCAGGAGAAACAAGTCATGCATTGATCAGATCGCCACATTACGGATCATCATTGAACAAAGCTTGGAATGGCAGTCATCTCTCTATCTCAACTTCATCGACTTTGAAAAGGCCTTCAGCAGACAGCGTCGATCGAGAGGTGATTTGGAAACTACTTCGCTACTACGGGATGCCACCGACAATTATACATCTCATCCAACAATTGTACGACAGTGCCGCATGCCAAGTAATCCACAATGGGAAACTTTCGGAATCCTTCGAAGTGAGGACAGGAGTAAGACAAGGCTGCCTACTATCGCCAATGATTTTCTTGATTGCAGTAGACTGGATAATGCGACAAACAGCGGGCAATGAGGAAACAGGCATAAAATGGACTCACACAAAAAACTTGGAGGATCTGGACTTCGCCGATGATATATGTCTGACTTCTCACAAACTGGAAGATATGCAAGCGAAAAGCAACAAGTTGTCAGAAGAAGCATCAAAGGTAGAAGGGACTTCAGGTGAACATAGAGAAAACAGAGGTGATGAAGATTCCTGGGCAACACCACCAACAGCAACAACAACTGACAACAATCAGCATAAATGGGAGGAACCTGAAAGAAACAACCTCCTTCACCTACCTGGGAAGCATCGTTTCAACTACAGGCACACGGAACTGACGAGGATATCAAAGCAAGAATCGGAAAAGCAAGACAAGCTTTCACTACTCTCAAGTCTGTGTGGAGGTCAACAGCACTGCTCACCATCAAAAATAAGATCCGGATTTTCAACTCCAATGTGAAGTCAGTGCTACTATACGGATCAGAGACTTGCACTGCGCGTCATAAAGAGCATCTCAAACAAACTACAGACCTTCATTAACAGTTGTCTTCGCTCAATACTACTCAAGATCAGACGGCCAGAGAAGATCAGCAACAGAGATCTCTGGCAATGAGCAAACCAACCAGGAACTGATTGTGAAACAAATAGGCAGGAAGAAATGGAGATGGATTGGCTATTCATACTCTGAGGAAACCATCAAGTGACATCACTAGACAAGCCATTGCTCGAGTGGAACCCGAAAGGGAAGCGGCGAGTTGCTCGTGAGTGTGAGGGTGACTTGGAGGAGGTCATGTGAAGAGGAGATGAAAGCGTGTGGGTAGGCTTGGAGCCAGGTGAAGACTCTAGCAGAGAACCGAACGCAATGGAGACACACGGCTGAAGCCCTATGTTCCTCTAGGAATTAAAGGAAACAATAATAATAATAATATAAGATGAAAATGACAAAGCTTATGACCTGGTTAATTGCTATAGAACACAAATATGAATCGTTCTTGAGGTAAAAAATCATACTGTAAATTCTATCAACGGAACAAATGAAATAATTCCATTGGAGACTTGCTGTAAATCGATAACGCGACAGTATTTGCTTTGCGCAGCAGATGACTTAGTAATACATAATAAGCAGCAATTTGCTTAGTCTCTTTTGTTACTCTCAATATAATTTATCATAATAAACCCGTCATTCACAGTGCTTTGTGTCGTTTCTTTTCCATGTTATTTCAATTTATTTCATTTTTAATGCTATCGAGCTCTAATATTTTCCATCCAATTCCAATTGACCCAATAAATTCACATATCTACAGTACTTATTTCCAAATATACTAAATTTTTTAAATAAAATTCGCTCTATAATCAGTTGTATGCACGTAAGTCTTTTGTACTTTGCATTGATTACTATTCACACGAATATTTCTCTGGAAATCGATTTGTGTTTTGTAATCATGTCAACTAATATTCTATGGCAATTTATCATTTCCACTAATGTTCAAAATTATAGCATATGAATACAACTGATATTACTGTTGTTATTAACTCGAATTCATTTCTGAGTACACTTCAAGTGACAATAAACCACACACATACACACCTTCAAACAAAACACCAATGTGAATAAACATCACTAGGAGACAAGTTAAAATGAAGCATTTCTGATGCAATAAGTCACATATATTAGTATAAAATGATGAAAATGCAATTTTATATTTTCAATAGTTGATTTGTAAGGATCAGATTCGTTTTCTACGAGTTGGTCACGGATTGATATCAGTTAGAGAAGCATTGAAAACCAGGGAGTACTGGACACCTGTTTCATCTTAGTTTGGGGATCATTGGCAGTACGCACCCACAACCAGGGTTCGAACCCAGGACCTTTCGGTTACAAGGCAAGCTCGTATACCATCCAGCTACTGGGACCCGATTCAATGGCTCATTAGTCGGTGGTCGCGCTAAATCACGAATTGGTAGGAGTTAGAGTTCATGGGCTGGCCATTGAATCGGGTCTCAGTGGCTGGGTGGTATACGAGCACGCCTTTTAACCGGAAGGTTCTAGGTTTGAACCCTGACGGTGGATGCGTACCAATGATTCCCAAACTAGGATGGAACCGCTGTCCAGTACTCCCTGCTGGTTGTCAATGGTTCTCTCTAACTGATATCAGACCGTGATCAACTCGTTAAAAAAAACAATTTTATGTGTTTAATTTTGGAGCTTACTATGACTAGATATGACTACCAAGGAATATTTACTATTTAAACACTGGTTTATTGACACTGGCGAATTTAGGGGTATGCTTTTTCATCACCGTGCAGTTCTCAAGATATGAAAATGACATCACTACTATGAAAAGAGTTTTCGGTGATGAAATCTACGTTTTTATATCTCAAGAGGAATTATTATATAATAGGTATTTAAAGTTTACTTCGTTACAAACATCCAATATCATTTTTTACGGCTTAATATAAACTGAATTGATTTCGTTGCACTTGATGGTGAGGTAACATCTCTACATAAAAGAAAAGATTATTGTCATTATTCATTTAGGTTCCAAGTAGAACATAGGGCTTCAACAGCACATCTTCCTTTCATCATGTTCTCTGGAGCCTTCTTAAGCTGTCTGTACGATTAATCATAAGCTTTCATTTCCTTCACACACGATCTCTTTGATGTAGCACTCGGACGCCCAACTC